TTATTTTTTACTGTTACTTGTAATATCTTTTCTGCTGTAAAATTTAATTCCAGTGCTTTATTGACTAAGAAAAGTGATTTAGGTTCCAGTAAAAGGTTTTTATTAAGAGTGATATACTGTTTCACTTCTCATCACAGGTAGGCTGGTCTCTGCTGTGTCGTCTGATGGAGATCTGTCCCACCACTCTGGACAGTCTGGCCAACCCAGATGAATATGAGTTTACTGAGGTGCACAAGTAAGTCTCATTGAGTTCTTTTTATGAGCTTGTATGGGCTCCTGTTTATATAGTATAGTACCTTGTACTATTGTATATTGTATAGTACAGGGGTGGCGAACTCCGGTCCTGGAGAGCCGCAGTCCTGCAGAGCTCAGCTCCAACCCTAATAAAAACTCACCTGCCTGTAGCTTCCTAGTAACCCTTCAGACCTTGATTAGCTTCTTCAGGTGTGTTTCTCTCTCCAGGACCGACGTTCGCCACCCCTGGTATAGTATATACTGTATACTGGTTAAGATTAAAAGTGTTTGACTAGGAGGATTGATGCATACAGTAAATAATATATACTATTGTTATTATAAATATTATAGAAATCCATGTGAAATGCCAATAGTAAAGATGTAGGCACAACACAATGCAAGGATAGTGGCAGATAGGGCAGCGAAGGGTGGATCTGAGTTTGACAGGTGCTAGTAAACTTTGGAATGGAAAATATAAACGTATACTGTATAAAGAAATATAAAGATGTCAGTGGAAGAAAGGCATAATGTATATAAAGAAAAAGTGGAAAGTAAAATAACTAGTAAGGCTTAGAGGAGCCATTCAATAAAATATCTTTCATCCGCAACTGGATTTAGCTGTGTTTGGCACCGCAAATAGTTTAGTAGAAATAATTTATAATTGAACAGGGAACCATGTGTGGTGTGGTGATATGTGACTGAAAAAAGCACACAGTATTTGTAGATCTGGTTAGAACTTTAGAAAGAAGAAAGCTGCAGTGTAGTGTATTTATGAATGCACTGGGGCATCCCAGCCAAAAGTATATTGTAGTAAATCAAGTCTCAAAGTTGAATGAATGCGTGAACCTAATGTTCTGCTTGAAAACAATGTTATGTAACTTAAATATTTCTGAGGAGGAAGAATGTAGAGCTGATCATATCACCTAAAGCAGGGGTGGGCAAACTTGGCCCTTCCAGGTCACTTTCCTTCAGAGTTTAGCTCCAACTCTAATCAAACACACCTGAACAAGCTAATCATTGTCTTCAAGACTACTAGAAAGCTACAGGCAGGTGAGTTTTATCAGGGTTGGATCAAATCTCTGCAGGAAAGTGGCCTGGAAGGGCCAAGATTGCCCATCACTGACCTAAAGGGAGCAAGGAAACAAGGGCTCAGGACCGAACCCTGTGGCATGCCATAGTATTAAATGTCAGGGGTTTTCAATTAAAATTACAAGAGGTCCTGTTACCTTCCTTCCCAGCAGAGGTCCGAACAATACTTTTAGGAATATTTATACATTTCCGCAGTTGCAGTACTTTGTTAAAAAAAAGGAAAAACAAGCATTCTAAATCTTTAATTATCGTCTTTTTTATTTTAGTTAGGTTATAACGTCATGTTGTCTGAGATACTGCAACTGATTTTTATTTGTCCATGTTCAGCAGGTTTATGCAAGTGTTTGCATGTTTGTTCATAGGCAGATTCTTAAGGTGCTTTCAATGTATCGTAAAGATTCCAAGATGTTGATGGTGGGCCTGAGAGCTCTGGCTCTCCTACTGAAGTCAGGTAAGACTTGCTTTTACATAATGTTTATATGTACTGATTATACAATCATTATGGTTCATTGGGTCCGAAAGCATTTTTCCAATTCATTTAATCTCTTTAGGGATTTAAATAAAAACATTCCTTCATTAAAATTTGAACCAAACAATAAACTACTCGTTGCAATAAGCACTGCTGTAACAACGTTTGTAGATCGGGAAGGAGGAGGCGGGAACCGGCAAACACTTAAACAAAACTTTAATAATAAAATAAACACAAAACAGCGCGACAGCCCCTCGCAGACGACTGTCGCGCACAAACAGAACCAAAACACAAAATAAAATCCAGGCCTGGTCCTCTCTCGTCCAACACTGTCGTCACTCCTCCTTTTATCCTTCCGGAGCTCCTCCGTGGGACTTGAGACATTAGCATTTACTCCACCGGCCTCGCTCCGTTCCCACGGCTCTCGGCCCCGCCCCTCTCGTCACAACTGCAAATGACATAATCAATTAAGAAATGACAGTAGGCTACATTATACAAATATGGAGATCGAGAAAACATCTCATACATGCAGTTCTTCTTATTATGAATAGTCCACATACCCCTTACGCAAACATAATCATGATGATGGTTAGATATAGGCATGTGTCATTTTACTTGCTTTCCTGAAGTGAGAATAATGTTTGGTGTTTGTGGATCAGATGCGATTGTGATGCAGGTTCTGGACGAGGAAGAGGTAGACGTGTTTTTCTTGGTTCTGGAGGCCATGAGGTCATTTCATGACAAAGAAGAGGTTCAGCTACAGGGATGTGCTGCTTTACAACTACTTCTGCAAACAGGTAACACTGCTTTGTTACAAATCCTTTTGAGTATGTACAAAAGTAATATAGGGCCCTATGATTTACACAGTGAGGAAAACATGGACGAATTTCACAGTTTTGTCTACTAGTTTGGCTTAACTTGAAGAAATGTGAAAATAAATATATTACTGTTGGACAGCAGAATTTACATTTACATTTACATTTAGTCATTTAGCAGACGCTTTTATCCAAAGCGACTTACAATTGGGGGATACATAAAGCGATTCTTCTTAAAGAGGCAAACAGACACAAGAAGTGGTTGTAATACCAAGTTCTTAGACATTGTTCAAATAAGTACAAGCTAGAAATTCATAATGGACGAATTTCACAGTTTTGTCTACTAGTTTGGCTTAACTTGAAGAAATGTGAAAATAAATATATTACTGTTGGACAGCAGAATTTACATTTACATTTACATTTAGTCATTTAGCAGACGCTTTTATCCAAAGCGACTTTGAGAATTTACTTCTCAATGTCATAATAAGATTGTTAATTTCTGTCTAATTAACCTGCTTGATTGTCAGTTTCTGATGCTCATCTGGTGGAGTTCATTGAGAACAAGGACCATGAGGTGGTGTTGGATGCGCTCAGGCGTTTCATGGACAGTGAGAATGTGGTACTGCAAGCTCTGAGGGTCCTCATACCGCTGGCTGCTCCAGGTATAACACACCTACTGCCAACTAGATTCAACTATATTATTAAACAATATTATTACAAGCACTATTAAATAAGCCTCTCTTTCTTGAGTCTAGCCAGCAATATTGAGATTCTGATGTCCAAACCCATTAAATGCGACAGTCTGCTGTGTCAGGCCATGGACATGTGGCTCGACTCGGAGGCCATACAGGAGGCTGGATGCTGTCTGTTACGGAAATTTACTTCAGGTGAGCCGGGTCAAAGGTCATGATGAAATTATGCTGTTCTCATAACTTTTAGAAAGTGGTTTATTTTTGAGTCATGTTATGTTTGTTTGCCATTTAACAGAGAGTTACTATTATATACTGGTGCTGAATGGTGTCCATAAGGTGGTGGTGAAAGCATGTGTCGCTTATCCTAAGAATGCCACAGTGCAGACCACTGGCCTTTCCTGCCTGAGCGCGCTCGGTGAGTCAAAATGAACATGATAGTACTCTGTGTTTAGAACCTGGCTCTCCACTGGATCCCTGAGAGCCCATATTTAAGGTGGATCAATGGGGTACTTTAAAAAAAAAATTATGATTGTTATATGTCAGACATACATTTTGCATTTTTGGACATGACTGACAGTGTTACCTGGTTATTTTAAGTGACCAGTCTACGTCCATTTTGACTCATTTACATATGAAATTTTAATCATGCCACAAACAAACCTAAAAAGGCCTTCTGCTGATGTTGGCAATGTTTTGCTTGAAAGAATCAGAGTGGCTGGGCAAAAGTGCTCATTCTGTAGAGTAAACTTGAGGTATTTTAGGATAGAGTGACTAAAAAAAAACCTTTTTGAAAGAAGTCCCTTGTGTTCACAGAGGCTGCATTCGGTTGGTCCTTTATACAAATAAAAATACAGTAAAACAGTAATATTGTGAAATATTATTACAATTTAAAATAACTGTTCTATTTCAACCGTTTTTAAAATGTCATTTATTCCTGGGATCAAAAATTGAGGTTGATCATAAATTCAGCATCATTACTCTAGTCTTCAGTGTCACATGATCCTTCAGAAATCATTCTAATATGCTGATTTGCTGCTCAAGAAACATTTCTGATTATTAAGAAATAATATTTTTTGTGGTACACTACCATTCAAAAGTTTGGGGTAAGATTAAAAAAGAAAGAAAGAAGAAAATAATATTTTTATTTAGTAAGGATGCATCAAAATGATCAAAAGGCACAGTAAAGAGAAAAATCTCTTAATCAGTGCTGCTCTTATAAACTTTCTATTCATCAAAAAATCCTAACACAGTTTCCTCAAAAATATTGATCAGCAAAAACGGTTTTCAGCATTGATAATAATAATAACTATTATTAATAACTGAGCACCAATAATAATTGATGATAATTTATCAGCATATCAGAATGATTTCTGAAGGATCATGTGACACTGAAGACTGGAGTAATGATGCTGAAAATTCAGCTTTGATCACAGGAATAAATTACATTTTAAAAATATATTACAATAGAAATTATTTTAAATTATGTTTTAAATATATTTAAAAATAAGTTATAAGTTACTTTAAATTGTAATATTATTTAACATTTTACAGTTCTTTCATCATCAAATAAATGGCTTGATGAGAATAAGAGATTTTTTTCCCCCAAAACTTTTATTTTCTTCACTCTATCATAAATGACTTATTACAGAAAACGAGATACCTTTCATATTTCACCCCCAGCCCCCCCCCAAAAAAATTCACGAACCTGATATGTGGCCGCTATGTCGTTTTTTAAATTTTATTATTATTAATATTTTGCTTGCGTGTCATGTTCTGGGCTCTGTATTAATGTTTTTTTTTGTCTCTCAGCGGAGTGTATTGTACAGAATGAAGGGCTAGACAGAGAGTGCAACGAGGAGGACGAGGCGAAACAGAAAGATCTGGTAAAGAAAGAAGCCACCCAAGAGGAGGAAATGCTTATCTGGAGAGAGGCCTGTTATACCGCTTTAGAGAGACATGCTGACAATGCCGCAGTGCAGGTGACACAGGACATGTTTAAACCTGCAATACGGAAAAGATCTTATCATCTCATTCTTTTGCTTTTGCTATAGTGAATATGTAATTTTCTCTCTCTTGGTCCAATCAGGAAGCTGCATGTTGGGCTTTAAACAGCTTGCTGCTTCATTACAATTCCTTCAACCATGTGGAACTGGAAGGAAGGTTAGCATTCCTTCATATTCTGTGCTATGTAGCATATTTTGTCCAAAAGTCCTCTTATGATGAGAGTTCGGGACCGATATTATTGAAATAAATAAATGACCTTAGTTATGATTGGCTAACCTCTGCATACTGGCGTAGTTAATACTGTCATCATCAGGCAGGTCATGTTGATGAATACTGAATATGTGATGATATTTAAATGTAGGCGGTCATATGTTAATGAGCTCAGGTTGTGATGTCGTAACCATGTAGATTTGGTTTGTTTCTGGCCCACAGGCCTCCCCTTCATTCTCTCATCATGGCTGCCATGCTTTTGCATTCATCCACTGCGGAGGTTTTCCAAGCTGCTTCCTGTACACTACGCACAATAATACAGCACCACAGTAAGCCCAGCAGTTCACTTCTCTCCGGTCATAGATACATGCAACGAGACTGTGTTTTAAATTAAATAGTGTGAATATGAGTTACACAAAAAATTGACTAAGTCTTTTGCAGAGATGTGTGGGTCCTTGGAAAAAAAGAAGTGTGCACTTGTAGAGTAAATATAAAAAGTATGTTTTTAAAAATCTCTACTTGCAGATTTTTGTTTTTTAAACACACAATAAGTAAACTTAAGAGCACTTTGTAATGTAGCTACATCTGAAATACTTATTTTAAAGGGGTCATTTGATGCGATTTCAAGTTTTCCTTTCTCTTTGGAGTGTTACAAGCTGATTGTGCATAGATAAGATCCCTGAAGTTGCAAAGACTAAAGTCTCAAAACCAAAGAGATATTCTTTATCAGCGTTAAGACTCTGCCACGCCCCCCTAAAATGGCTCGTTCTAACACGCCCCCACATATCTACCTCACTATGTGGAGATATTACCATAATGCCGCCCAAATGTGCACGCAAAGAAAGAAGGCGGGGTTTCAGTAACCGCAGTTAGTGTTGAAGCAGCATGTCAGGGAGACACTGTGTGTTTCTAGGTGAAAGCAAAAGCACTTTATTTGGCCTTCCAAAAGTAGATGCATTTAGGAATCTTTAAGATTACTTACCACAGAACAGCAATGCATTTTATGGACGACCGTTTCGTGAACCTAGGAGAGGAGGGAATTCTGACTTTGCTATACAATCTGACGCTTCTGAATCAGCTACTGTTTTGTTACTAGTTTAAGTATTTGCTATTGACTGTTCAAATGCGGAGTTTTGCGCATCATGTGTGTGTGTGTGTGCTCGAGCGAGCAAGAGAGAGAGAGAGAGAGAGAGAGAGAGCGAGACACATCACAGTGGAGTCAGCTGTCTTAACCGTGGCTTGTGTACTGCACACATACCAGCTTCATCACTGTGTCTGTCACGAGACTGTTCCCCTTTTGGGTTCTGTCTTTACATTTATTTTGAAAGATGAAGCTCGCGATTATGGTAAGGGGCGTTACATTTCCGACGAGTGCTTGTGGTGTTCGGCCAATCACAATGCACTGGGTCAGCTGGCCAATCAGAGCAGACTGTGCTTGTCGGGAGGAGGGACTTTGTAGAAAACGAAGCGTTTGAGAGAGGCGGGGCATAGAGGACCTACAATAATGTACAGTATTTGAAAAATAATGTGTTTTTTGAACATTAAAGCATGTCAACATATTCTGTTACACCAAATACACAAAATAATGATCTTTAAAAAAGCATCATATGACCCCTTTAATAATCTTTTGCCATGCTTTAAAGAGGTAGCCTACACTTATTTTGATGTGTTGACACTTCTTCTGTACTGAGTACAATTCTTGATTGTAATTTTAACTGTAGTTTATTATTTGATGTTAGTTAATACATTTTAAATGTGCAAAATAGCATATTCATCATTAAAATCTGTGTAAATGCATTTGTATGCATAAAGTTCATTTTAAGTTCAGCATTTACTAATACAAAAGTTGTATCTGTTAACATTAGTTAATGCAATGTGAACTAACATGAACACAAACTCTTTTATTAACTAACATTACCAAAGATTAGTAAATGCAGTTAGTTCATGTTAGATCATGCATTAACTAATGTTAACAGATGAGACCTTATTGTAAAATGTTACTGATTTTAGTTTACCATAGTCAGTGCATTCTGCAATACACTTCAACCGTATTTCATAAGACAATAAAATTGCATATGCATTTAAGTATTACTTAATTGGGTCAAAAAAGCTCTCTAAAATTCAGCTAATTGCATTTAAAGGGGTGGTTCACAGTTTTTTTTTCTAGGCTTGATTGTGTTTATGGGGTGCAGTCTAGGCCTTGGCGATAAAACGATATCGATATTTATCGACGGTACACCCTCTTCGATAACGGTATAAAAAATGTTCGATATAGCGCACGATATAGGCACGTGAAACACAAACACGAAAACATGCTGAATTGAGTGCTGTGCCTGCCTGTGATGAGGAGATTGTGAATTTTAAAAAAAAGAATATTAGTCGAATTTAAAATAAACATTTGCATTTGAATACAAAAATAGTACAATCAAATGTTAGGTGTGAGTCTGGGAGCGTCATTAGTGGAGCGCGAGATGTGGTGATGATGATGTAAGTGACGTTGTTGCATTTGAATGTTTTATAAGTCTAGCCCACAAGACGCGCAGTTGCTGCGTTATTCATTCAAAATATTAGAGAAATATAGTAGCTCAATGCTTAGAAGATCTTGATTAGACTAAAACCGAAACCAAGCCATTCACACAGAACGCATATTCAGGGCATTTTTTAGATGGACAAATTATGACTGCTGTACCCGCGTCTCACACAAGAGATGTATAGAAAGTCATGCAAAGTTAAAACAATTTAAACTTTTAGAAAACATGTCACAAATTTGTGGAGGTTAATTCCTTTTCACTGCGTCTCTTATATTTTTAAATGCAATTTGCGTGATGGGCGATTCAGCTCTTTGTATTAAGCAATGCATAAATACATAATTCTGTTTTGTTCATAATTGTTTATGCAATTTACGAAATTGTTTCATTTATATGAGTTAATTTAGACGTAATGCACATTTGTTTTATAGACCGTTATTTCCTTGCATTGACATTTTTAAGTGCTGCATTTTTTTGCTCATTGCGCCCTCCTGTGGCTTCGGGAGTCAAGCCAAACGTTTCCTTCAGACCTATTTAATCTGCATATAAAACATTAGAAATTAGATATTTGTTTAATTTTCATTTTGTTTTTGACTGTTAAAACAAAAAATATTTGTTGTGTGTCTCAATAAATTGGGTTAATTTAAAAATACAGTGGTTTTAAAAAAGGTTATAAAAAATGTCAATAATTATCGATACCGAATGATATGAAACATTATATCATTGCTAAATTTTTTTGCTATATCGCCCAGCCCTAGTGCAGTCTAACATGTGTTAATGCTTCGTTTTTAAAAAAAAACATTATTTTTAACATAATTTACCTTTATTCCACACCGCTCTGTCCCTTCTCTGAGAAACGGGATGATCTTTTCCTGTTTTTATGAAGCCCCTCCCTCAGAAATAGGCGATGGGCTCTGATTGGTTAGCTAGCCCAGTGTGTTGTGATTGGCTAAACCGCCTCTAGTGCCGCCTAAACGTCCTGCCCCTCACCTCAGCTGCATGTGCTCCGGTTGTATTGTAAACAACGTCGTCATTAATATCGCTTATCAGTTTGAGCCCAATTGAAAAGCAGAGGATATTACTGAAGAGGATCGTGCAGAACCTGTGCAAGCACGGCTTTTAATGGTAGGCCTATGTTTTTTGTTGTTGTTGTCTCATACTTTTAGATATGCTGTTATTTGTAAATGCTACTGCTTATGTTAGCTTTTAATATACGGTTTTATCCTGATTAAAGCTTTTATACAGTATGGCAACTGCATGCCATGTATAACGCTTATCATAGCTATGTGAAAATAAATGTATAATTGGAACAGTTCATTGCTGGAGTTGAGCTGAATGAGAGCGAGAGAGAAAGAGAAAGAGAGAAAGTGAGATGCAGAGCACGTGCAGAGCAGGGGGACGTGAGGAACAGTATTAAGAATCACTGCTTTAGAACATTGATTTTGAAACTTGTGAATCCATTAGAATCGTTAGAAGACAGAATCGCGATTCATATATTAATAGATTTTTATGTGCACCCCTAGTTCCCTTTCGATTCGGTCACTCTACATTGCTATGGGAATTACCCTTTCCTCCAAATATTACTGAAGCCTTATTGAATCACGCCAGTGAAACTGGCCAATGGCGATCAAGCACGCAAAATACGAGGGGCTCCCACTCTATATAAAGCAGCGCTTGTACGTCATCTATTCACAATCTTTTTCTTCAGCCAACCTTTTACGAGAAGCAAGAAGCCTGTCAACAAGACTACTCACCATGAGCTACACGCTGCAGCGGACACGCCTTCTCTTCCCCTGCTGTGTTCCGGTGAGCGGAAACAAGGATGACTCGCGATTGCCTCTCCTGCACAGAGCCAATCAAACTCTCTGATGGCCACAAGTCGTGCGTCTTCTGCCTGGGTCGCGCCCACGCAGAGGCGGCGCTTGGGGGGTCGGACTGCCCCCACTGCGAAAATATGAGCCTACGGACTCTCAAGCTCTGTGTGGCCATTGTCCAAGGCGCCCAACTTGCCCTGCTGCGCTCTTCCTCTGCAGCCTCTTTCGAGTCAAGGAGGAAAGTGCCGCGAGCTTCTGATGCAGATCTGTCAAGGTCAGGTGACGAGCCCGCACCGGTTCAGTGGCCACGCTCTCCTCACCCCCCTGCTGCAGGTCCCCTTCCAGTGCGCTCCATGACCCCTGTTCTCCACCCCTCCCCCATCGCTCAGGATGTGGTGTCCTTCGGTGCCATGGAGGGCACTGAAGAGGAGGATGATGCCATTTCGGTGGCAGCGTCTTTGAGAAAGGAGTGGTCTAACAGCCCGCTGGATTACACTGCGCCCCACGGCAGCGACGCGGGGGACCACCATCATAGTGATGTCAAGCTACTTAGCGTCCTGTCCAAGGCAGTTGATGAGCTCGGTTTGGAGTGGGTGCCTCCTGCCGAGCCGGCCAGAAGCCGTCTGGACGAGTGGTACCTCCAGTCAGATCGCGGCGGAAAGGACACCCCACGGAGGCCCGGCCCCTTTTTCCCCGAGGTGCACGATGAGATAACGAAGTCGTGGGACGCGCCACTCACCAGTCAAGTGCACAACCCGCGATCCTCCCTCCTGTCTTCTGTGGACGGCGCTGACCAAGTGGGGTATGTTAAACTTCCCCCCGTGGAAGAAGCCGTTGCTGCCCGTCTCTGTCCTTCAGCCATGGTGAACTGGAGAGTGAGAAACAACGCGTCTCTCTCCTCTAAATCTTGCCACGCCACTGCAAACTTCGCCGGCAAGGCTTTCTCCACGGCGGGCCAAGCAGCTTCAGCACTGCACGTGATGGCGATACTCCAGGTGTATCAGGCCACGCTGCTCAAGTCTCTGGATGAGGACGGGCCGGACCCTGAAGTGTTCAAAGAGCTCCGACGCGCCACAGATCTGGCCCTCAGAGCGATGGTGGTGACAGCTCGAACGATCGGCCACAACATGGGGAATCTTGGGGTGCTAGATCGTCACCTGTGGCTTACTCTGACCGAGATAAAAGACTCAGAAAAAACGGCTCTTCTGGACGCTCTCGTGAATCCCTCAGGTCTCTTCGGAGCAGCGGTAGAGACGTTCACTGAGTGCTTCGTTGAAGCGCAGAAACAATCAAAGGCTATTAACCACTTCCTGCCAAAGTGCCCCGGCGCAAACTCTCCTGCGTGTTCCCGCTTTTCTTCTGCTGCTGTTCGGTGAGAACATGAGCCGGTGGTGAGACCAAGACAGCCTTGGCCGAAGCGCCGTCAGGGCTTGAAGAGCCATAGACCCCGCCCTGACAGATACGGCAGGCCACCGGCACTGTCTCTCTGTCTGCTGTCTCTCGGAGGAGGAAATCTGCACCCAGTGCCGAAGACAAGCCACTAAAAAAGTCTGCTCGCTCTGCTGTGTGTTCACTACGCCCCCTTGCCTGTTGCGGGCGGCGAGAGCAATTGTCATGTTTGTGTTTTGACTGTTCCACTACGCAGTGCAATAAAGTCGCAATAAATTCACCTCAATATCAAAGCAATTATCCTCCTCTCACTCCCCTCTCCCCCATCATTCACTCTCACATTTGTGTTGTATTAAACTCCCCGCCCCCCTACGGCGAGTTATTCCTCGCGGTGTGCAGTCCGCCTTGGCCACTGTCACAGTTCACAGAAGCATGGCAGGCACTGCCAGGGGTATCAGAGTGGGTTATAAAATCAATAAAGAACGGCTACACGCTTCAGTTCTTCCGCAGGCCGCCCCGTTTCAACGGTGTGTTAATGTCCACTATACGGGAGCAGAATGCCTCAGTTCTGCAAGAGGAAATACACAACCTCCTCGCAAAACGTGCTGTAGAGACAGTGCCCCAGCAGACCTCGAGAGTGGCTTCTACAGTCGCTATCTTGGACCTGAGACCGCTGAATCGCGCGCTTTCGAAGTGCTCGTTCAAAATGATGACGCTGAGACAAATCCTCTCACACATCTGACCGAGAGATTGGTTTATCTCTGTGGATTTAAAGGATGCTTATTTTCACATTCATTTAGCCCCTCGCCACAGGCGTTTACTGAGATTTACATTCGAGGGGATAGCGCAACAATTCAAGGTCCTACCCTTCGGTTTATCCCTCGCCCCTCGTACATTTACGAAATGCATGGATGCCGCTCTCTCTCCTCTGAAGCAGAGTGGAATGCACATCCTGAACTATCTCGACAATTGGCTAGTCTTAGCCCAATCAGAGAGCGCACTGCTCACCAGCAAGCTCAGACTCATCGCTCATCTTCAGAGCTTAGGGCTGACTGTGAATATGCAAAAGAGCATGCTAGTACCGAGTCAGAACATCTCCTTGTTAAGAGTGGAGATGAATTCAATTAATATGCGAGCGTGTCTGTCGGAGGAGTGCTCAAAAAAACTGATCAGCTCTCTCGCAGTCTTCAAGTTAGGGCACTCTCCCCCGCTGAAATGCTTTCAGAGGACGCTCAGCCAGATGGCTGCCGCCTCGACAGTGTGCAAACTAGGGCTCCTACCTAAGCGACCGCTTGAGCTCTGGCTAAAGGGCCGGATGACACAGAGCGCATGGCGCAAGGGCACCTTGTGCATCAAAGTGACGCGCGACTGCTGGGATGCGCTGACCCCTTGGCACGATATGACTCTGTATCGCCGGGGTGTTCTTATTGGCCAAGTGATCAGGAGAAAGACTGTTACAACAGATGCATCGAGCATGGGCTGGGGTGCCGTATGCGATGGCAGACCAGCCTTCAGGACGTGGTCAGAAACTGAGAAGTTGTTGCACATAAACTGTGTGAAGCTCCGTGCTGTACACCTAGCGCTCGAGTACTTTATCCCGGACATTCTCCACCATCACATTCTCATCAGGATGGACAGCATGACAGTGGTAGCATTTATAAATCACCAAGGGGGTGTGAGCTCGCGGCCGCTGCTGCGGCTGGCGAGAGACATTCTTCTGTGGGCAGATCGACACCTCCTCTCCATCCGGGCAGTACATGTCCCCTGACCCCTCAATTATGGCGCGGATTTACTGTCGAGGGGCGGGGTAATCCACGGGGAGTGGAGATTACACCCTTTGACAGTCAATATGATTTGGAGTGTATTCGGCAGGACATAGGTGGATCTCTTCGCATCAGCGGAGAACACTCACTGCCCGCTCTTTTATTCACTGACACACTCTCCCCTGGGAGTGGATGCATTAGCTCACAGCTGGCCGAAAGTACGCAAGTATGCTTTTCCTCCAGTGAAACTTCTGCCTCGTGTGCTTTGCAAAATCAGAGAGGAAAGGGAATCTGTTCTGTTAGTGGCACCGAAATGGCCCAATCAGCCGTGGTTCCCAGAACTGGTGGAGCCCCGTGGACTGTCCCACTGAAGAGAGACCTCTTCTCTCAAGCACAGTTAACGATATAGCACCCAAATCCAGAGTCATGGAGCCTTCATGTCTGGCTGCTCGACGGAGCTTGCCTGTAACAGATGCACTTCCTCAGCGCGTGTTGAACACTATCTCTGAGGCTAGGGCTCCTTCCACTAGACGTCTTTACACACATAAATGGAGAGTTTTCACAAATTGGTACGGGTCGCGGGGCGAAGACCCATTCGACTACCCAATACCAATAATTCTTGCCTTCCTTCAAGAGCAAAAAAAATTTAAATAAATAAAAAAGCCTGTTCGAGCCCATACAATCAGCGAGCTTGCGTGCACTCTCTCTCAAGACAGCGCTCCTGCTCACACTGGCCTCTGTTTAGCGAGTTGGGGACCTGCAGGCGATGTCAGTTGACGACTCGTGTATTGAGTTTACCTGCTTTAAAGCGCAGGCCATAACACTATCTGCTTTCCGTCCCGAAACACTGGCCGGGCCGGAGCCGCTTAATACAGCTATTTGTATGCTTTCGAGGGCACACAAAAGGCCTGCCTGTGTCCAAGCAAAGGCTGTCACACTGGATTGTCAAAGCAATTGCTTTGGCTTATGGCTTTAAGGGCATGAAATGTCCTATAGGGGTTCGGGCCCACTCAACCCGCGGACTCGCGTCCTCGTGGGCCTGGGCAAATGGCATATCTATTCAGGACATTTGCATGGCGGCAGGCTGGTCGTCACCCAGCACTTCTGCAAGGTTTTATAACCTAGATGTGTTGCCTCACATGTGCTGTCAGTGCGAGCAGCGCACGTGCCTACTCAGCCTCAGTTATGATCTGAGCTGCTTGCCTCAGTGGTTTCGACTAGGTCGTATACACCCCCGTACTGACGTACCACTGATTCAATGCTGTCCCTATCAGCTTATCACATTGTTATGATATTGTTCATCATGTCTTTTAGGACATGATCACCATCATACTCTGCTTATTTGAGCACCGGTACGGCCGTTGCATCATAACACATAATTTCATTGAAATTAAACAAACTTCAACTAATCTATATGTGATGGCGGCGGAGATGCTCTTATTGGCGTGTCACCTAGCTCAGGATCTTAGAATGCCAAGTTGCTTCAGTCAAGATTCTGAATAGATGACATACAAGCGCTGCTTTATATAGAGTGGGAGCCCTTCATATTTCGCGCACTTGAATGCCATTGGCCAGTTTCACTGGCGTGATTCAATAAGGCTTCAGTAGTATTTGGAGGAAAGGGTAATTCCCATAGCAATGTCTCGTTCCCTCATCTCAGGGAACCGAGGTTACGTGAGTAACCGAGAGTGTTTTCTCTTCCTCTTCTCTAAAGCAGCGCAGCATGGCCTCACCCCCTTTGCTGCCTTTTCCCGAGGGCGGGGTTTATCTGGGTTTGTTACATCACGAACCCAGGAAATATTTTGTTGTAGTCCCTACCAGCCGTTTTTGTAGGTATTAAACTTCCAGAATTTTAAAAGACGATATCTCCATTTGCATTGAACTTTCAACTTCGTAACTTTGCAGATATTGTTTATGCTCAAACAGCAACATTACACACTAACTAACGTTAAAAAAGTGAAATCGCAATGAACCACCCCTTTAATATAAATTTGAATTATATTATTTTTTTACTTAATTGCAGTTAACATACATTGAAGTCTTTTTCACCAGGGATGTGTCTCAGTTTGTGTGTTTTTGTACTTCAGGTAGGATGAGGGCTCTGCTGCTTTCACATGGCATTCATGTCAACATTGTGCATCTGATGCAGAAACACGCGAACTCCAGCACTGTGTGTGAAAGTGCCTGCAGACTGCTTCACACACTCTTCCAGGGAGCGTAAGCACACATGACTCCCACATATGTGATGTATATGACAGGCCATAACACTATCTGCTTTCCGGCCCGAAACACTGGCCGGGCCGGAGCCGCTTAATACAGCTATTTGTATGCTTTCGAGGGCACACAAAAGGCCTGCCTGTGTCCAAGCAAAGGCTGTCACACTGGATTATCAAAGCAATTGCTTTGGCTTATGGCTTTAAGGGCATGAAATGTCCTATAGGGGTTCGGGCCCACTCAACCCGCGGACTCGCGTCCTCGTGGGCCTGGGCAAATGGCATATCTATTCAGGACATTTGCATGGCGGCAGGCTGGTCGTCACCCAGCACTTCTGCAAGGTTTTATAACCTAGATGTGTTGCCTCACATGTGCTGTCAGTGCGAGCAGCGCACGTGCCTACTCAGCCTCAGTTATGATCTGAGCTGCTTGCCTCAGTGGTTTCGACTAGGTCGTATACACCCCCGTACTGACGTACCACTGATTCAATGCTGTCCCTATCAGCTTATCACATTGTTATGATATTGTTCATCATGTCTTTTAGGACATGATCACCATCATACTCTGCTTATTTGAGCACCGGTACGGCCGTTGCATCATAACACATAATTTCATTGAAATTAAACAAACTTCAACTAATCTATATGTGATGGCGGCGGAGATGCTCTTATTGGCATGTCACCTAGCTCAGGATCTTAGAATGCCAAGTTGCTTCAGTCAAGATTCTGAATAGATGACATACAAGCGCTGCTTTATATAGAGTGGGAGCCCTTCATATTTCGCGCACTTGAATGCCATTGGCCAGTTTCACTGGCGTGATTCAATAAGGCTTCAGTAGTATTTGGAGGAAAGGGTAATTCCCATAGCAATGTCTCGTTCCCTCATCTCAGGGAACCGAGGTTACGTGAGTAACCGAGAGTGTTTTCTCTTCCTCTTCTCTAAAGCAGCGCAGCATGGCCTCACCCCCTTTGCTGCCTTTTCCCGAGGGCGGGGTTTATCTGGGTTTGTTACATCACGAACCCAGGAAATATTTTGTTGTAGTCCCTACCAGCCGTTTTTGTAGGTATTAAACTTCCAGAATTTTAAAAGACGATATCTCCATTTGCATTGAACTTTCAACTTCGTAACTTTGCAGATATTGTTTATGCTCAAACAGCAACATTACACACTAACTAACGTTAAAAAAGTGAAATCGCAATGAACCACCCCTTTAATATAAATTTGAATTATATTATTTTTTTACTTAATTGCAGTTAACATACATTGAAGTCTTTTTCACCAGGGATGTGTCTCAGTTTGTGTGTTTTTGTACTTCAGGTAGGATGAGGGCTCTGCTGCTTTCACATGGCATTCATGTCAACATTGTGCATCTGATGCAGAAACACGCGAACTCCAGCACTGTGTGTGAAAGTGCCTGCAGACTGCTTCACACACTCTTCCAGGGAGCGTAAGCACACATGACTCCCACATATGTGATGTATATGACAGACAAAAACATACAGCTGGAATCATACTTTTATGTCACTCCAGGAGGGCCAGTCTAGATGATGGGACCCTGATGCTCGGTCAAATCCTGACTGCTCTGAAGATACATAACTTCATTCCTGAAGTTCAGCTGGAGGGTCTCAGAGCGAGTCTAGTTCTTCTCAGCCCAGGTAGATTGTCTGTCTGCTTCCTGTCTCTTGCTTTGTTTTAGTTTTTTGGAATGAATCTGCAAGAGTTGTGTTTTTATTTAATTAATGGAATAGTTAAAAAAATTACATATTTACTCACCCTCATATTGTTTCACACTCGTGACTAAATGATGACAGAAAAGTTTTTTTTGGTGAACCACAGTGCCTCCATATATAATGTCTGACTCTTTGTCTTGTGTGTGCAGACAGGAGTTTAAGAGAGCAGGGCTCCTCGGTGGCGGATCCTGACACGGTGGATGTTTCGCTGCGGGTGCTGAAGAACCAGTGTGTACTAGAGGGAGCTCACACTGTCTATCTAGAGGCACTTAATAGGGTAAATGCTGTATTTCTTACAAGCTAGAATAGTTCTGTAATTCAGCATGTACATTAATGCTAAAGGAAGACATAACCAAAATACATATTAAAGCTGAAGTGTGTGATTTCTGTTAGATGTTAAAATATTTTCTTCTATCTCAGCATAATATGCAGAGACAACTAGAGTATCGTCACAAAATTATGATTTAAACATCTTTACAGCTCAAAGTGCATAAGGATTAAAGGGATAGTACATCAAAAAAGGAAAATTCTGTCATCATTTATTCACTTTCATGTTGTTGCTCACCTTTTTGAAGACTTTCGTTTATCTTCAAAAACACAAACGACAATATGTTTAATGAACTGTAAACCGTTCTACTCGCCGCGGGAGTTTTCCTCTTTCATTCTTGTGAATGTGTATGTGCCTCCAGATGCCTGCGTGAGCGCCGCGATGCAACAGCTGGCCGAACAAATAACTGAAATGGAGCAAAGGTACCCAGACTCTATTTTAATCATTCTTGGAGACTTTAACAAATCAAATCTCTCCCGTGAACTGCCAAAATACAAGCAGCACATTACGTGTCCCACCAGAGACAGCACTATTTTGGATCACTGTTACACATGAGAGATTTCTGTCTCTTCGCTAAAAGTTCATTCCACCAATACGTCAATGCTTCAGAAAGTTCACAAAGACATTGTAAAAGTGATATGAATTGAGCAATTTAATCTGAGGCTTCTGAAGGGACACAATGACAGATTTAATTTAGGCTTTAATACACGTAAACAGTGATCGACACACAGAACTCATCAGATATGGTAAACAGAAGCTCAGATATGCTTTCATGACCTGCTAGAACCAAGTACGATTAAACTGTTGGTTATGGACTACTTTTACAGTGTCTTTAAACACTTTTTGAAGCGTGAAAGTTTTGGTGGAATAGACTTTAAATAAAGAGACAGAAAATTAAACACATCTTCATTTCTGTTGATGAACGAAATGAACGGAAAACTCTAATGGGTTTGAAGCAACATGAGGATGAATACCGTAACTGATGACAGAATTTTCATTGTTTGGGGTGAACTGTTCCTTTAATATACTTTAGAAAAAACATGACCTTCACTTCTCATTTTACACCCTCTCAAATGCCTCTCCTCATAGACTTCCATAGCAATTTCATTACTGTAATCTTTTTTTTTTTTGTGCAAATTTTCAATGGAAGTCAACAATTTGCCTGAAATGCTGTCTATAGGCTTTAACTTGTACTGGACCCGTAACTTTGCTTTTAGGATAGAATTGGACTTTAATCAGGTGGTTTTAGTTTAAAATTTAAGTACAGAGTGCCTCGTGGGCAGTGCGCCGACATATAGCTCTGTTGTGCCTCAGGCTTCCCGAGTCCCATTTCACTTCCTGTCAACATACTGTCCTATCATAATAAAGGCGAAAAATGTCAAAAATAATATATATATATATTTTTTAACTAAGTACTGTAAATGTGGTGGGTGTTTCATTTGTTATGTGTGTTTAGTTTATCAGTAGTGAGGAGATTCAGGAGTGTGGACTTGGTGTGCTCTCAGCGCTAGCTGACTGTTCTGGAGCGGTTGACCTCATGTGCCAGCAGGGGGCGATAGATACGGTTCTTCATACGCTGCAGATGTTTCCACAGGAACGTGGTGAGTCCATGAGATCTCCAGCCTCTGCTTCTAATCCCAGCCAGACTTTTGAATGCCGACATTTGGGCTGCTTATTCTGCCCAAAAACCACCCACTGTTCAGGAGTTCACGTAGAACGCGTTTCTGTGTTCCACTATGCTGCTTTTCCATAGTTTTTCTATGTAAACATGCGCTAAACTGACATGTTTGACCATTGCGCTCTTGTGTCACATATTGTGTGATGATATTTAATGTTTAATGTTAATAGCACTCTATTGGGCATGTAAACATTTGAGCACAACTGTATATTAACTGAAAATCATCACCCTTTGTAGAAGTTCACTACTGGGGTCTTAGTCTTCTGTTTCACCTCATCTCTAAGAAGAAGCTCTCTCGTATGATGGTGCCTGTACTGGCCTCAGTTTTGGTCAGCTCTGTACGGCAACACAAAGAGGACACAGTCATGCTTCTAAAGGTAGCTCAATACAGTTATTACCAGTTCATAGTCAAAAGGTTTGTTGTTTTTGATGTTTTTTGATGTTTTTTTGGTCATTAGGGTCTTCAGGCGGCGTGGAAGTTGTTGGACACCTGCTCGAGTGCCGCAGCATGGCTGCAGAAAGAAGCCTTCGAGAAAGACATCTTCCAGATCCTGCGGGAAAAGACGGCAGACCAGCGCCGAGATCCAGTAAGAAAATGAAACCAAAAGTTCTTAAACAAGTCAGGAACCCCTGATAAACCCTACATTTTGTTCTGCTTCAGCTGCAGGGAATGAGTTGCCTGTGCCTGTCTAAGATGGTGGCGGACAGTGAGATCCTGTACACGCTGCTGGAGAGAGCGTGTGAGGACGGCGATGTGGACATGGCAGAATGTCTCATCCATCTGGGTGCTGACATCAACAAGAAAACAAAGAGCGATTCACTTATATATCAGGTGTGATATATAAACTTCAATTCCTTAAAGGGACAGTTCACCCAAAAATGAAAATTCTGTCATTAATTACTCACCCTCATGTTGTTCCGATTCCGTAATGGTGTGTTCACAAAAATGCGCAACGCCTCAATCGCGTCTTCCACGCAAGTTGAAAAATTTCCACTCAAGCGGAAAATTCGCATAACGCATTGTCGCGTAAGGGTAAGCCAATCAGCGCTGGAAGCGGCAGTCATCCATGCGCAGTTCCTGGAGAAGATGGTGTAATTCACAGTTTTGTGTGCCGTGAACCCAGACACGTCGGCGTTTAGCTTTCCGGTGTATTTGCAAATACATTTATAAAATTATTTACAAAGCAGCGATCATAGTTATTTCCACCATGGTTGATGAACATCCCGTGGGTAATCAACCATAGTATCGCTGCTTTGTACTTGTTGTGGAAGTCCCTAAAACGCCGGAAAACGCAGATGTGTCTGGGTTCACGGCACACAAAACTGTGAATTACACCATCTTCTCCAGGAACTGCGCATGGATGACTGCCGCTTCCAGCGCTGATTGGCTTACCCTTACGCGACAATGCGTTATGCGAATTTTCCGCTTGAGTGGAAATTTTTCACACGAATAATTAAATTTGCGTTTGGTGTGAACACACCACAAGACTTTCGTTCATCCTCGGAACACAGTTGAAGATATTTTCAATTAAATCCGAGAGGTTTCTGTCCCTCCGTTGACAGCCTAAGCAACTTTCACTTTGAAGGTAGTGAAAACATCATGAAAGTAGTCTATGTTACTCCAGTGAAGAAAATATTGAATATAGTCATTATTTTTGTTCACACAAAAAGCATTCCTGTCACTTAAGAAAATTACAGTTGAACCACTGGAGTAACACGGAGTACTTCCATGATGTTTTCACTACCTTTCTGGGCCTTCGAAGTGAAAGTTGCTTAGGCTGTCAACAGAGGGACAGAAGCCTCTCGGATTTAATTTAAAATATCATCAGTTGTGTTCCGAGGATGAACGAAAGTTTTAGGGAATTTGAACGAAACGAGGGTGAGTAATTAATGACAGAATTTTCATTTTTGGGTGAACTAACCCTTTAATTCTTGAATTAAAAGCCTGACTAATATATAACTGGACTTTGGTTGTCATTCCTAGCCGTAAAGAACAGGTTGCTGTGTTTGTGCAGGTTTGTGATCGAGGGGCTCCTCTGGCTCTGCTGGAGCTGCTGGTTTCTGCAGGAGTTCATGAGCAGCAGTTACGTGGAGCTCTGAGCGTGTGTGTCAGGAGGGGCGATGACCCTGCCATCACCCTCCTGCTCGGCCGTCTGGGGCTGGACCAAGCCAACAACGCCCTGTGCCTCGGGAGCTTCCGCCTTGGACAAATGAAAGCGTCGTGGCTCAGCGCTCTGCTCTCTGAACGCAAAACTAAGTCTCCAGTCAACAAGAAGAACAGTGAGTCTGTTCACATGATCTGACAGTTGTCACGTACATGTTCTGGGGCCATGACCACATTTACTTCAGTCTTGCTTTGTTTTTTCTATAACAATTTCAGAAAATTTCTTCAATAGAGATTACCCTGAACTAAAAAAGTTATGAGAATCTAAGAAAAAAAAAAAGATTAGAATATCAGTAAAAAGGTTAAAACTTTTTATTCTCTATCACACCTCAAAAGTAATGTAGTGTATATGACTAGCAAAGTATAGCATGCTTTCAAAAACAGTATTTATTATAAAAATAACATGCTTTACATGAATATACTTAAGTATGAGCTGAATTTAATATTTTTGGAAACTTCATTGCATATTAATGTAATAAAGTTAAAATATATTAAATTTATGTTAAGTTGGACTTAAGTACATTTTTATATGTCATTTCATAATTACATTGTCTTTGAAATAAAGTGTACTGCCAAATGTACTGATACGTATTAATAAACTAAAATATACTTTAATGTAATTTCTATTGAAACCTGTATGTCTTGTATTTAAATATATATTTTTAATTACACATTTCTAATAATGAAGTTGCAATTTGGTACATAAAAATCTGTAACTTGAAATTTTGTATTGAAAAACACACTTGGAGGTAAAATTCTAGTCAAGTACTTTACCTGTACTTTAGTATGTTAGTCAACACATCAAAATAAGTGTACTTTAAAGAACAACAAAAGATTATTAAAACATAATGATTTAAAATGTACTTTAAAATAAAACTTTTCTATTTGACATTATTACAAAGTGCACTTTTTAAAAGTGTGCAAAGAAATAGTCACAATACTGTGCATATATCTTTTGCATTATTTTGCTTTAAAAAGAACTTTCACAGAAAGTGCCAGTTTAAGGAATTCAAGAAAATTAGATTTTGCCAAGTTGAAATCACTTGTCACTTGAGGGTTTCTAGTAAAACATATGGCATAAATAACATCCTGGTTATTTTCAATACACTGATATAACTTTTTTGCACTTTATACTCAGTATGTAGAGAATTTAACTCTACATTACTAAAATTAGCCTGACTGTTGTCGGTAAATCTTGTCCTTGTATCTTTAAGGTAAAGGTCAGCGTTTGGCCAGACAGTTCTTGTCACTCCAGAGGAACAAAGGGTTTGTGGGAGTTGGTAGATTACGGAGTGATGCCAGCACATCAGAATATTTCACAGATGAGGAAAGTGACGAATCACACATTTCCTTAGATGAAAGCTTGGTCTTCATGTTTCATAACATGGAGAGTGACGGTAAGATGGTTCTCACATAAATAAACAAGTCATTTCTTTGGATGTGGGTCTTTTTTTGTTGCTTTTTCAATCTCGTTTTATGTTGAAAATGAATGTGCTCCATTGGTAGGGAGTGATGGGCCTTCACGAGGATTGCTACTTTTCAACGATTCACCAGAAGTGGGCAGGAAACCTGCTTGGAGACATTGCAGCCGGCGTAGACGTGCCAATTCAGAGGTGCTAGATCAAACAGACACAATTTTGATGCTCTGTGTGTTTGGATTGTAACAGTGAATTTAACCGTTTGAATGTCTTTCTGCAGGGATGCCACGGTGAGACCGATCCAAGCGTCCCTCTACGTAAGCGCTTTAACTCTCGCAACACTAGAGGTACACATTAAAAGCTGTCTGACATGGGAGCTAGTCCTGAAAAGTTCACTTGTTAAATCTGTCTGTTTTTGTTTTAAATGTACAGGGCAGGGTTTCATGGAAAGCTCCACTCCTGGCGCTTTCCCTCTGGCCATAGACAAAGAGCCCATCCGTCTGCTCGACCTCTCAGGGAATGAGCTGGGCAGTCTGTCCTGTTTGATGGGTGCGAGAGCTCTCAAACAGCAGATTGAAAGCCTTCTTCGGCTTGATTTGAGCGGCAACAGTCTATCAGAGCTTCCCAGTGTTCTCTGTCAGGTGTGTGGAAACATTTTGTTATTAACACGAAACAGCACTCGAAACCCATTCGGTAATGTGCAGTCACAATGATTCTTTGAACATATTAGTTATTATCAGTTCTTGTATTATGAACTGAATCAGAACAAATGAAATTAGGTTAAGTTCCCTTATGGCCAAAGTATACATCGGTTTGTACGCGCACTCGAGGGTCAGCGTACAGTGCACGTGAGTGTACACATGACACAAATTTCGTCACTAGAATAGTACATGCATACATACTAGGGCTGGGTATCGATTCAGATGTCCCGATTCGATTCGATTCGATTCGATTCTCGATTTTTTGATTACATTCAGTGAATATAGTTTTAATACAAATGCTATTGATATTTAAAAAAAAATTAACAGTAAACATCAGTTTACAAATGGTGAATTAATAAAAAGAAATTAAGCCACATGCCTGTATTTTAAACCTATACTTTTTGTATGGGTCCTTTTTTAAACAATAATAGGGCCCTATAAAATGTTCCTTATTTTTCTGGTAATCAGATGAAGGCATAAAACATTAATTTAATTTATCCTAATCAAATGAAAATTAAACCCTTTTATTTTTTGGCAAACAAAGTGCTGCACAACAGAGGTTTACTGTTAAAAAGAAAACAGATGTGATTATTCCTTTAAAAATAAAGATGTATTAATATTTATTAGCAGTAGTAGCATTGATTCTCAAGACTGCTAAATAGTAATATATTCTGACAGTTTCTTAACGTTAAACCAAATTAGCTCCTACTCCGGAGCAGGGTCTAACCAGCACAACTGGTACTAATCGTGACGTAAGTAGACACTTTCTAGAGCGCATGTGTCGACCGTCTGCGTCCGCGCACAATATCAAATGGAGTATGCTTTGAAAGGCCCTTACTTTAAAACAATATACTTAAGTGTGAATTTAATTTAATGTTGATGGACACTTAATCGCATGTTAATTGTGATTACATAAAATGTATTATAGTTTAAATTTAGATTAAATGCAATTAGCTGAACTTCAGAGTGCTTTTTGACCCACTTAAGTACATCTTTAAATGTTATTTCATAATTATTTTGTCTTTGTAAAATGGTTAGTTTATTGGCGAATGTAACAACAAGGATTTATAATAAACTGAAATATACTGTAATGTAAATTCTATTGAAACTTGTATGTCATGTATTTAAATATATTTGTAATTCCACATTTTAAGTTGCCATTTAAAGTATGATTGATGTACTTTTAAAGTATATTAACTTATATATTAAAAATATAATCAAGACTATGTGGTTCAGTTTGTTAGTCAGTTACATCAAAACAAGTGTGCTTCCTTAAATCATAACAAAAGATTATTAAAACATGACTTAAAATGTGCTGTAAAACTGCACTAGAAAGTGCACTTTTTACAAGTGTACTTAAGTGTTCATGCAGGTGGCCTTTTATATCATTAACATTATCTGGAATTACAGTTTTTTTAATCTTTTTAAGATTTGAAGTGCAGCACACGTGAACATTTAATACAATTTAGTGTAAAAAGTATACTTTTTTCACCAAGTAACACTGACTTTGTAACTTGCATTGATTTACAGGATTATGGTGTTTTCTTTTCTTTTTTTGTACCAAATAAATACTTCTTTAATTAACTGTATAATCTAATTATATAGTATCTAGTAAATATCTAGTTATAGCTAGTAATCTAGTTATCAAAGTACATCTTTAATGTGTGTTTTGTTTGTTGGTTTGTCCGTTTTGTGTTTTTGATCGTTGATATTGATCATCATTTAATGTGGTGATTATTTCTTAACCATACTCAATACATATTTCCCAACAATTTATTAAAAGAGTTTTGAATTGTGTGTGTGTGTGTGTGTGTGTGTGTTGTTTTTTTGTAGCATTTAAGAAGTCTTACCCGTCTAGATCTTCAAGGTAACCAACTGCAGGCACTTCCTGTGGAGCTCCTGGGTTTACCTGCACTGAGCACGCTCAATGTTTCTCGCAACTGCATTGGTCCTCTTCTGTTGCTGGACCCAACTGTGTGCAATCCAGCCTTACACCAGCTCAACCTGTCCTTCAACCAGATCACCGTCTTCCCCTTCCAGCTGGGGCAGGCCATGGACAGACTGGAGGAGCTCTTGCTGGAGGGGTAGATCATGAGATAGTAGTATTTCTAGAGCACTGGTGTACTGTAATATCTTAAAGGGGTCATATGATGCTTTTTTTAAAGATCATTATTTTGTGTATTTGGTGTAACACAATATGTTGACATGCTTTAATGTTCAAAAAACACATTATTTTTCAAATACTGTACATTATTGTAGGTCCTCTATGCCCCGCCTCTCTCA